TCGATCCTGGCACCCCGTATGGCCCCCTGAGCCCGCCAGGAGTGATTCCTGAGTGTGGAGCCAGGAGTGAGCCCTGAGCACCGGGGGGCGTGGCCCAATAAAAGCAAACAGACACCACCTATGGTGCAGCCTGCCAAGCTCTCTCCAGCCGCCTCTGTGTCTTCGAAATGCTCCTCAAATCTTTCAGGAAATGAACCTTGGAACCCTGGTGGGGCGTTTCCCCAGGACCCGCTTCCCAGCCCGGACCCTGCTTTCCCCCTGCTAAGTGCCGCTCTTGTCTCTGCAGATCCCGAAGGCCCACCGGCCCCCGAGGAGGAGCACCAGGTCTGCCCTGATGAGTTCGACGACTTTGTCACCTATGAGGCAAGTGTTTCCTGGGGGCCAGGAGGGTACTGAGGAGGCAGTACAGCTCCTGCTGCGGCCCTGCGGGGGTCCCTGGGTCAGCTCTGCAGGAGCAGCTGTGGGATGGGGTGGCCTGGTCACCTTCCTCTGAGTTTTACCAAATTTCCAAGGTTCTGAACAATTGTGTTTTTGATTTGTTTTTTCTAAGGAAATATAGAAAAGCTTCTTATTGTCTGGCAGCCACCCTGTGATGCTGGCTCTGTTCTCAGTGGTCATTCCTGGCGGGGGGTGGGGGCTCAGGGGACCCTTTGGGTTCGAATCAGTTTGGTAAGTGCCCTTACCACTCTCTCTCTGGCCCTTGTACCTATGTGTGGGTGAACATCCCCTCAGAGATAGGCCCTGGGACCTGTGACTCTGAGCTTCTAGAAAGGCTCTTTGAAGTTGCCACTGGGATCTGGAGGAACGCAGGGAGTGGAGTGGCCCCAGGGCAGCAGGGAGAGGGCACTGTCCTGGGGCTTCTTCCTGCCCACGGCTCTGGAGCAGAGCTTAGGTGCGAGCGGTGTTTCAGGTGTGTTTGCGAACGGGCTGGGGTCTGTCTGGTCAGTGAGGAGCCTGGGAGGGACCCCCTGATTGCCAGGTGCGGGCCTGTGGGTCTTCGGCTCAAGACTCCTCCTGGCCTTGGGGCCTTTCAGGAGAAGAACCAGGAGGATGTTTCTTGTGGGCCTCAGTCTTCTGACCATTTCAGGGGGTCCTTGAAACAGTCGGTTCATCTCTAGCTTAGCAGCTTCCGTTTTGTGTGTAGGAAAGATGATGTGGAATCTCACTGCCCAGCGCCCGCAGGGCTGAACCCTGCAGTGGGGCCCCCGCTGGCTTCCCGGGTGCCCACAGTGCTGCCCGCTCCTTTGATGCTTGGGTTTTTGGGCTTTTAGATGGAGTTGGGCTTTTGCTTTTACGGGCCACACCTGGCCATGCTCAGGGCTAGTTCTTGGACTCCTCATGGTCCACTGTCTGTCCAGTGTTGTTTTGCACAACACCAGAGGAGCTGCTTCCCTGAAAGGCTCCTGCTGGCCCTTACGCTGTGAGTCCAGGTGCGCTGTGCCCACCTTCCCTCTGGCGTCTCGGAGGGGCAAAGGCCAGGGGAGGGGGGCCTGTCGCTGGCCTCCCCATGGGGATGCTGCCTGCACAGGGCCCAGTGGCAGGAGACAGCAGGTATAGCAGTGGGCAGGCTCAGAGACGCACCATGTCTGCAGCCCCTCCCACCGCCCAGCCTGGTGCCGAGAGAAAAGTGCCCTCGGCCGGGAGGAAAACGCGAAGCCGTCTGTTATCAGCACGGTTGGCAACACAGACAAAGCAGCTTTGTGAGGAGCCAGCAAGGACGCTACAGCACCCGCAAGTTAACAGAGCGTGACTGGGAGCAGGTTAGACTTTCTCCCCTGGTGGGGATGTGCCTGCAAGTGCACACCCAGGGTTTGTAGCCACCCCAGTGCCCTGTTGTGTTGCTGGAGACAGCTGGGGACCCATCTGGATAGAAGTCTTCAGTGCTCCGGCAGGAGCCTGCCCGGCCCTGTGCCTGCGTGCCTGGGGACCAGGGCTGGCATCTGATGGTAAGACGAGGCTGCCCTGCCCACAACTGGCTTCGCCAGCCTGCCATGTCCCCCTCTCCTGCACTGTGCCTGGCCAGGTGGGGAGCTGGTCGCTGCACAGTGATGGCCAGCCAGGGAGGCTTTCTCAGATGTGCTTTGATTTCCCCAGGAGTTCGTCCTGACTGGTAATTTGTCCAAGTTTTTGAATTGTGGGTTTCTGGGATTCAGGTCCTGTGTGGGCCGCCGCGGAGTCTGAGCTGTTGGCTGGCCCAGCAGACTAGGGGCAAGTGTGCTTTGTCTCAGATGGATCTTTGCCTCTCTTGAAGGAGTGTAGCCCTGCCTGGGAGTGACCCTGTGTTCAGGGCACCTTGACAAGTCACAGAGACCCTGGGGGGAGGCAGCTGGGCAAGGGGCCAGTCCTGCCCTTGACTCTGCTCTGGTGCCCCCGCAGGCTCTCAGCACCTGCACGGCCGACAGGACCCCTAGCACCCCCTGTGTGTCTAAGGTCTGGAGCAAGTGAAGGCAGCACACGCACGGAGCCTTGGCGAGGTGGCACGTTGCCTTCCTGGCTGCATCAGAGAGCAGAGGCCAGCCTCGACAGGGGAAGCAGAGGTCTGAGTGCTGAGGTTTGGGTAATCAGGCACGGCCAGGAGTGACCCCCAGCCCCCGCTGTGCATGACCCCTAATCCTCCCCAATAACGGAGGCGAAGGGGGTGAGAGCGTGCCTCCCCGAGCATCGAATCTGTGGGGGGTAGCCCAGACCAGGTGGGCTAGCCCTGACTCGGCCTGTTGGGGCTGCACTGCCCACTCCAGGCATGCTCTGTCTCCAGTGACACGGCTGGCAGTGTTGAGTGCCATGTGTCAGGGCTTAAAGCAGGGTCCCCCACTTGCAAGCCACATGCCTGAACTCCTGTACTCTTTGCAGCTCATTTTGTTTTGTTTTTGGGCGTGTGTGCACACCCTGCTCAGTGCTGGACGCGGCTCCAGGGAGTCCTTGGGGCCTGTGGTGCCAGGGATGGACCCTCAGCCCCCTTCATGCACTCCGCCCAGTGGCCATCTCTGCAGCCCTGATTTCATTCCTTCCCTTTTCTGCGTGTGGTGCCGGGGACCCTGCCAGGGCTTCTCACATGGGAAGCATATATCCCTTTCCCACCCACGACCTTTTAGGAGTTTTCAGCCAGTCTTTGTTGGTGCCTTCCTGGTGCCTGTGGAGATTCCCGGGCAGCCCTTGCCATCTCAGGAGCTGCCTTTGGAACCTTGTCCTGCGATGCTGTGCCCCAGAGGGCCAGCCCTGAGGCCTGCCTGCCTGGGTGAGGGGTGGCCCTGCTGGTTGGAACAGGGATGACGATTTGTGTGTGTGACCCACTGACCATGGCTGTTCTGTGTCTGAGCCAGGCAGGGGTCATGTGCCTTCCCTGACATCTGACTGGTGTGCCAGGTGTTGGCCTTGGCATCTGTTGGGAAGGAAATGCCAGCCGCTTTTCTAACCAGGGTTTCTGCATTTTAATTAAAGTCGAGACCCTTAAGTCAGAAAGAGCCTGCTTCACAGTTCTTTGGTTTCAGAGTCATTTGTGTGAATCATATTTGCTGGGCATTGTTCTGGGGTCGGTTCCTTGGTGCACCGTAGAAAATCAGGGTCTGACCAGTGAACACAAGGATTGCAATGACTCTGGGGTCAGATCGTGTCACTCAGTTGCACGGTGATAGACTGAGCAGACATGAAAGATGTCAGTTACTTATGTAAAAGAGGCACATTGCATACATATGAAAGTTCATTGTGGACACCTCATGAAGATTGTTTTGCTGGGTTTTATCATGTAATGATAGGATGTGCTCTGTTACAGTTATAATTATATAAGTAACTTTCAGAATGACTCTAGGGGCTACAGGGATATTTCGGTGGGTAGGGCACTTGCCTTGCATGCGGTCAAGCCAGGTTCGATTCCCTGTACCATACATGGTCCCTGCGCACCACCAGGACAGATCCCTGAGTACAGCCATTCTCCTCCATATCCCCACAAGAAATAATGACCCTGGGGGCTAGAGAGAGAATTCTGCAATCAAGGTGTTTGCCTTGCACAGAGCTGACCCCCATTTGATCCCTGACACCACATGACCCCCTGAGCACTGCTGGGAGCAGTCCCCAGCACTCAGGAGTGGCCCAAACCCTTCCCACCAAAAAATAAATAGAAATGACTCCAGGGGTCAGCGAGAGCTTAGCACGCTGTAGCACATGCTTTGTACCCAGGGGGCTTCGTCCTTTGCTGCGGATGCCCCCACTTGAGCACTGCCAGAAGTAGCCCATGAGCACTGCCTGACAGGGCCCAGAAACAAACACTTTTGCTATCCTTTTTGGATCACACTTGGTGGTGCTCAGGGCTTCCTCCTGGCTCTGTAGTCAGGGATCACTCCTGGTGGGAGTCAGGGGACCGTGTGGGATGCCAGGTATTGAACTTCAGTCTGCTGTGAGCAAGTAAGCATCTACCTGCCACACTGTTGCCCCAGCCCACCCCAGATCTGAGATGTTTGTGTATGTGTGTGTGTGTGTGTGTGCGTGTGTGTGTGTGTATTTAAATGACTCCAGAGAAATGGTTCAGTGGACTAAGCATGTGCTTTGTTTTGTTTTGTTTTTGTTTTTGTTTTTTTTTTTGCTTTTTTGGGTCACATTCAGCAATGCTCAGGAGTGACTCCGGGCTCTGCACTCAGGAATTACTCCTGGCTGTGCTTGGGGAACCATAAGGGATGCTGGGGATCGAACCCAGGTTGGCTGCGTGCAAGGCAAATGCCCTACTATCACTCTGGCCCTGAGCATGTACTTCGTATGCAGGAGACCTGGGCTTCGTCTCTGGTACCACTCAGGTCCCTGAGCACCACTCGGAATAGCTCCTGAGTATCACTGGGTATGGCCCCCCGAATGAAATAAAATTAAAAAATGCCTCAGTTGCAGGTTCTGCCTCAGACTGCACACCTGATCTGTAAGGTTCTGTTTCTGCCGGAGGCAAACGGCCCAGGTGCCCAGCTCGCCATGGGTGGCCATGGGTGGAGCTCTGTGCTGAAACCTCGTGTCTCTCCTAGGCCACCGAGGTGACGGACAGCGCCTACATGGGCTCTGAGAGCACCTACAGCGAGTGCGAGACCTTCACGGACGAGGACACCAGCACCCTGGTGCACCCCGAGCTGCATCCCGAAGGGGACGCAGACAGCACGGGCGGCTCGGCCGTGGCATCGGAGTGCCTGGATGGCGTGGAGGATCCCGGCCATGGTGCCCTGTTGCTGCTCCCGGGCAGGTCAGTGCATCAGGGCCTGCGGGCGGGCAGGGGTGGGCACCAGCCTTTCAAGAAGCCCAGCCCCACGGCCGACAGCATTGGGCACAGCTGACCCTGTAGGTAGGTGCTGCTTCCTGCCATGGCTGTCAGCATCACATGCGCCGTGACCGAGAGTGGCTGCAGTGTTCTGCAGGATGCGCCTGAGGCATTGCAACTGCCCGGCTGTGGGCTCTGCATCTGGAGAGTGCCCGTGCAGATCTCTGTAACTGATGTGCAAAGTGGACACCAGATTTCTGAGACAGATAAAGAAAAAAATGTAAAAAAAAAAATCTCCTTCTAGGGGGCTAGAGCGATAGCACAGCAGGTAGGGCATTTGCCTTGCGTGCAGCCAACCCGGGTTTGATTCCCAGCATCCCATATGGTCCGCTGAGCACTGCCAGGAGTAATTCCTGAGTGCAGAGCCAGAAGTAACCCCTGTGCATCGCGGGGTGTGACCCAAAAAGCAAAAAAAAAAAAAAAACAATCTTCTAGAAGTGCTGTTTCAGTCCACCGGGCCAAGTGAAGTATGTCATGAAAATCAAGGCCAGGGGCACTTCTGCTTGGTTTCTCACAGCTGAGCGTGCTGCTCAGCTGCCAGGCTCTGGGTGGACGGTGGGAAGCAGAGCCCCAGAGCACCCTTCCTGCAGGCCAGGAGAGTTGCCCTCCTTATGACAGCAGGCGCCTGTGTTGCCTCCACAGATCCCTCCTGCACAGCCAGGCCGTCGTCACAGTGATCGGGGGTGAGGAGCACTTTGAGGACTACGGTGAGGGCGGCGAGGGGGAGCTGTCCGTGGAGGCCCTCTGCAACGGGGAGCAGGCATGCAGCGGCCCCGGCTTCCTCACACCCAGGTGAGCCACGCCTGGACCTGCGCTTCCTTCGCCGCTGTCAGCAGCTGAGTGGGCTGGCATCAGACACACGTCGGAGTCCCATTTACCCCTGAACGGAAGCTCCCTCACCCACTCGTGTCCTGTAGTGGTGGCCTCAGCTGTGGCACGGACACGGGCTGTGCGGTAACGGTGACTTCCCAGGGTCCTTCCTGCTGGGGGCCCTGGCTGTCGGTCTGTTTTGCTAAGAACGGTCAGACCTCTAGCATAGGGCCAGGGCAATAGTGCAGCAGGCGAGGCAGCTGGCCTTGCACACGTCTCAGTCAGCGTTGATCTCTGCACCCAACACTGTCCCCCAAGCCCCTCCAGGACTGAGCCCCGAGCACACACAAGGTGGGGCCTCCCAACCAAAATAAACTAAAAAAGGCTTAAAGGGTACTGTCTTCTACTCAGTTTTCTTTCTATTTGTCCTGGGCCTGCACCCGGTGGTGCTCGTGCTATTCCCAACGTGTTCAGGGTGCTCCTGCAGTGCCAGGGCCCCGCGTGGGCCTCCCCCAGTGAGTTTGTACTGTCCCGTCAACTCTTGTCTTCGTGTTTTTATTGGGGGCCACTGGTGTTGGTGCTAGGGATCAACCCTCGGGCTCTCCCATGCTCCAGCCCTCTGAACTGTCTCTCCAGCCCTGATACTGAGTTCAGTGTCCTTATTCTTCCAGCTGAAAGTTGGGACCATTTTACCAAGCTCCCCAGACTGCCTGGGAAGTTCTGGCTTTGAGAAGCTGAACTGTGATACTTGATTGGGGAGCCCCTTGCCCTTGGAGCTCGGCAGGAGATGAGCTCCCTCAGTGACCCTGGGCACGCCGTGTCCTTTGCTCGGGGCTTCCTTCTAGAGTCAGGAGAGCTGGCCTCTGTTCCCCTTCCCTTCTCCACTTGCCCACAAGTCGTGGGTTGAGGGGCCTGGCCCAGTGTGGAAAGGGTCTGTGCCCCGGCAGTGGGCGGTAAGGCCTTGGCATAGCAGCGTGGGTCTGCCCCATCTGGGCCCTGATGTTTGCACCATCTTCCATCTCAAGTGTGACTTTCATGTGGCAGTTGGTGTTTCCCTTTGACCTTCCTTGAAAGGGAACTTTCAAAGCCCTGCGGCTCCAGTGCCCTGAGTGGCGCCTTCTGATGCCCAGTGGCAGGTGCAGTCCCCTCAGGGATACCTGGGAATTCACAGGGAACGCTTGGCACATCTTGCTGATGGCCTGTGCGTAGCTGTGGCACTGGGGAGGCCCCAGAGGCCAGGTGTGCCCGGGAGGTGCCGGCCAAGGTTGCGGACCCTCACACCTGTCCCTGCAAGTGGGGAAGTGTGCGGGGTTCAGTCGCGGACTGCAGGCTCGGGGGTCTTCTCTGCCAGCTGTCTTTAACTGCGCTCGCTCTCTCTCCTGAACTGACACTTCTGTCTCTCTAGCGCCGACCCACTTGCCACAAAGCTGCACGGCATCCTCGCTGATGAGGCTTTTGAGTTTTATTGTAGCCAGTGCTACAAACAAATCAACCGCCTAGAGGACCTTTCTGCTCGCCTGAATGACCTTGAGATGAATAGGTAACTGAGGCTCCTCCCAGGCAGGCCCGGCCCTGCCCTGCATGCGCAAAGCCCGGGTTGGGGCACACAGCCTCCTCTGCATGTGGTCTGCCAGCTGCTCAACCCCGTCCTGCCCCAGGAAGGCCTGCATGCACCAGGGTCCAGGGAGAGCAGCCTCCATGGCACGCGGGAGCTCCTTGGTCAGGAAGACTTGGCTTAGGAGTATGAGCACTCTGGCCGGGCAGCCTCGCCTGAGCATGTGTCTGAAAGGCCGCCTTGGACCCGCCAGCAGGAGCTCCTGCTTTGCACCCAACTCACCAGGTGCCCTTGGCAGCCTGCTCTCTTGCTCCTCTCCACTCCTGCTTCTGTTTTCTGTGGGTCCACCTGATGCCCAAGGTCCAGCCCCAGGTAGCCCTGTGTCCGGCTGCCCTAGAGACCAGCTTCTGGAAGTTTGCATACATTGGCTCAGGAGGTGACCCAGCCCTGCGTGGCTCCCTCGAGGCGCCGATGCAGCCCGGGGACGGGACACAACCTGCTCTCACACCAGGCAGGAGTGACCGACATGAACTGACACCGGGGTGGCATCCCGTAGAAGGGGCCTTGGGCCTGAGAAGTCACAGCAGTAGAACGGTGACCCTCCAGGGGCTCCGCATTTCTCAGAGGAACACCTTCAGAATCTGCAGCCTCCAGCCGTACCTTCCAGGCGGGCCTCGGGGCCCCTCTGGCCCGCTGAGAGCACCTAGTTCAGAACTGTGAGTGCATTTCACTCGCAGCTGCCCCTCCTTCTGGGTGCTGCTCAACAGAGGTGGGGACCCACTGGCACCCTGGTCATCCAGCACCCTCAGATGCACCTTGGCGATGCCCTTTAGGCCTTCCAGGGAGGCCTGGGAAACCGTGGCCACTGGCTCATTTTAGGAGAACAGTTTCCTCGGGCTGGTGCATGCTGGGTCAGGTGCTCGCTCTTCCCATCTTGGTCTGGCCGTGCACTTACACCCCGTCTCTGGAACTCCTTCTAGTGGACAGGAGAGCCTGACCACACTGGACGTGCTGCCACGTACCCAGAACTGCCTGTCTTTGAGACGTGGCTGGGCTACGTTTGTCCTCTGTCTGTCTTGGGCATGGACACCCCTCAGCGTGCAGTCAGGAGGTCAGAGTCTTGCCTGATGGGTTCCATGGAGTTGGTTTGAAAGGAAGCCTGTTTGGCCTCAGTTTGTGGGTGATCAGAGGTAGCTCAGTCCTGACCCTGTGTGAAAGCTGATGTCAGAGGTGGCAGCTCCTGAAGAAACCACAGGACAGGCCGGTAGCTCTCATCGCTCCCAGGTACCCAGAAGCCTCTGTGAGAACGTTCACTTGTAGAAACTAAGAGCTGATTCTGAGTCATCACTCCCTAGCCCTGTGGTCCTAGTGCTCTGATGGAGGAGGAGTGGGAGGAGAGCAGGTCTGTGTGGAAACCAGGGCTGTCCGCCGGTCAGGATGGCCACACGTGCCCCAGAACGGAGACCGCTGAGTGCCAGGAGCTGCAATGGGCTTGGAGTCGGGAGTGCAGCTGAGCAGGGCTGTGAATGTTGGGCCCCAGGACTCCCCTCCCTGGCTCTTCCCGGGGTCTTTCTGATACTCGCTGGGAAACTGCTGTCTCTTCCCTCTGGGGTCAGGAAGCTTCCCAGTGCCCGCTGGCAACAGATCTGCCAGGAGAGGTGCAGGTGCTGATGGCAGCACCCTTGGGAGCAAGCCTTTCCACCCGCCATGCTGAGCCTCGCAGGGAGGTTCCTACTAACCCAGACCCGTCCCTGAGCAAGGAGAGAGGAATCCAGGCGAGAGGTAACTTATATTTCTTGTCAGATCTTTCTACCAGGCCAAAGAGTATCAAAGGCATTTTTTGATCTGCGTGGCTAGTCGGTGCTTAGTACTGATCCTCGCAGGTTCGGACCCAAGCCTCCCTGTAGGCAGACTTAATCAGCACTTACCTTGTGCTTTAGTCGACGAGAAGGGAGGTGTGGCCTTGGCCAGTATCTGTTCCAGACAGCGAGTGGCCGTGGCTCCCTGAGTGGGGCCAGAAAAGTCTTCCTGGTTCCTGTCCAGGTGGGACTTAGGAGCAAGAAGAACTTCCTGCACAGATGCCCCCGCGTCAGGTTTCATATGGCCACTCTGGCCCAGGCGTCCAGAAGGTGAATTTTCTCCGAAACCATCTCAGGCCAAACCCTGACTGATGATGTGGGTCCAGTGCAGCCGTCTGTGGCCATCTCATGCCACCTCCCTGGAATGTCCCGGGGGGAGCACAGTGACCCTTGAACCCGGACAGACCTGTGGGTAACTGCAGCTGTTTTCTGCAGAGCCGTCTGGGAGTAGACTGCATGCTGTGCACTGGCCCCACACCTGCCGGGCCTGAGTCCCTGTCGCCTGTTCCCTGTTCCTGCCCATTTCTGACACACTCTCCCTGTTATTGTTTTGTTTGTTTGTTTGTGCACAGCCCGACGAAGAGGCTCTCCAGCAAGAAGGTGGCCAGGTAGGCATGACTGTTATTACTTCCCCACCCAAGTCTCTGTGGTTACACTGATTACTCTGGGAAAACGTCCCCAATGTCCTTAAAACAGTGAAGTTCTTGTGGTTTAGGATTAAAAATAATCTCACGGGCTGCAGTACAGGAATCCAGGTGTTTGCCTTGCGTGTGACCAACCCCGGTCAATCCCTGTACCATATACCAGAATGACCTCTGACCTCTGAGTGCAGGAGAAAGTCCTGAGTGTGACCCAAAATAACCATTTGGGGGGAGGTTATAGAAAGAATCACCAGTTATGTGCTGGAGTCCACTCTTACCACTAGGAGCAGCTCCCACACCAAGTCTCCATCACAGCATCAGGAAGGGCCAGTGTCCAGGCTTAGGGATAACCCGCTGGCACAGCGAGTGGGGGAGGGAAGGGCCAAGGTCTGAGACAGCAGCTCCTGAGCACCTTCCCTCACCAGGTAACAGTGTCCACACGCTCCCATGGGACGCACAGCCGGTGTCACTGGCTTCCTTCCCCGCCTGCCGGTGTAGCCTTCCTGGGGCCCTTGTCTTCCCTCCTTCCCCAACCTGAGCGGCCCAGCCTGGAGGTGACTGCTTGGCCCTTGCTTATCCGTGCTCCCCATGTTCATGTGCCATGAGCCTGGCACCTTGACTCCTCTGCACCCGCGTCTGAAAAAGCATCAGGAGATGAGCTTCCAGCTGTGCCGGAGGCTCACGGCCCGGGTGGGGTCTAGTGTGTTGACTCAGAAGCAGTTCCCTGGAGAGGAGAGTTGCTGAGCACCCAGGGGATCGGTGCTTCTTGCTTTTGTGCCCTTGGGAAGCTCCTGGGTGTTCTCGTTCTCCCTGGGATGTTCTTCTTCTCACTGGGGTGTTCTCATACTCCCTGTGGTCAGAAGTATTGCAAGTGCTTCTCTTTTATCAGCTTTTTTGTTCCCCTGAGAATATTTCTGGGGAAGGGGCCAGAGAGATAATACATTTGCCTTGCACACATCCGACCCAGGTTCAATCTCTGGCATCCCATATGGTCCCCCAAGCACCACCAGGAGTAGTTCCTGAGTGCAAAGCCAGGAGTAACCCCTGAGCATGGCTGGGTGTGGCCCCAAAAGCCAAAAAAAAAAAGACTTTCTGGGAGAGGGCCTGAGTGGTAGCACGGTGGGTAGGGTGCTCGCCTTGCCCCTGGCTGAGCCGCCCCGGATCTCACACACTCCATGTGTTTTCTGATCTCTGACAGGCATAAGCCCTGAGCACCACTGGGTAGAGCTCCAGGGCTAAACCAGATCAAAAGAACATTTCTGGGAGAGAAAACTGGGAAATGTACATGCTCTACTAGGAAGCAAGTAGAACTTGCTGCATTTGATGAATGTGTGTAGAAACCTTCAGCCTGGTTATTTGGGGGCTATTCCTGGCAGTACTCTGACTGTTGTGCCTGGGATTGGCCGTGGGCTCCTGCCGGCGAGGTATGCACCCTCCCCCACTGAGCAATTCCCTTCCTAACAGCGTCCTCCTGGGTCTGGCATGCTGTCCTCAACAGCGCTATCCCCATAGCCGCAGACCTTGTTAGAGAGGCCGGCTGGCCAGGGGCTGGGCAGGGCTGCCTCCTCAGGGCAGGTCTCTAAGGCGTGCTGTTGGGCTGCGGGGGGCGGGGTGAGGAGGTCTGTGCAGATGAGTTGTCTCTGCTGCCCAGGGTCCTGAGGGTTCACGTCTGGACAGCAGCTAAGCAGCAGAGGAGGGGCTCTGGGCATGCAGCCCCAGGGACTCCACAGGGCTCCCCACCCTAGGCCAGACCACTGGGCTGGACAGCGCTTGATGTGACTCACAGGTCTGGGGACAGCCCCGCTCCCATCTCCGATGTGACTGCCCAGGAGCCTGTGGAAGATCAGATGCTCTGGAGACCAGTGCGGGGATACCTGAGTGTGGGCCTGGCCCCCCGCACCCCCGGGCAGAGCCGCCGTGGGCTGACCTGGTACGGGGCAGTGAGGACGTGGTCATCGGCTCCAGGCGTTTTATTGCCCTGGTACAAAGTGCCCCACTACCTGGTGAGGAGGAGGCTCCAAAGGGCAGCAGGACAGCGGACCCGGACTGTGTCCAGCGTTGCCTGTCCTGAGTCTCATGTGGGAAGAGCCGACCCTCCCCTGCTTCTTCACTGTCCTCTGTGCTCTGCTCAATAACCTGCTCTGGGGGCTCCTGTTTCTCCTCCCCAGGCACCTGCTCCAGTCCGGGGCACTGAGCATGGAGGCCCTGCAGGCCCCGCCCTCGGAGCCCGGCGAGGACCTGGACGAGGACATAGCTGACAAGGTGGGCCCAGTGCGGGAGGGGACTCTGCAGGGGGAGGGGCCGTTGGCCCCGCACCTCTCGGTGCCTTTGGAGGCGTTCTCCGTCAGGCTGACAGTGTGGGGGTGTGAGGAGGTGTGCCCTCGAAAGTTAGCAGGGAGCACCATGCCGCCTTCCTGACCTCCTGCAGAAGGGGCACGGGGCTGCCGGCGGCCGTGTCATGGTCAGCGGGGAAGTTAAGGGCCGGTGGGGGGCACTGTCCTTCCTTGTCAGGCTGCTCAGAAGGGAGGGGCGTGCACCCGCCGCCTCCCCGCACCTCGTTCTGCTCCCCTGGCGCTGCAGTGCCCTCCAGCCTTCACAGCCACTCCCCTCTGCCCCTGTGTGAGTGGCTCACACACTCAGGGTCGAGCCCCCTGCTCACTGGCCAAGGGGGCCCCTGTGTGTGGGGCCCACAGCCACCCTGCCCTGCACCAGTGCTGACCCCGCAGGCCTCCAGGCCCCGGGGGATGGAGCGAGGCCTTGGGGCTCTGGGTGGTGGGCTTGGTTGGGGGTGCGGACGGCCCCACAGAGGCTCACCAGCGTCTGCTCCCCAGGTTGTCTTCCTGGAGAAGCGGGTGTCCGAACTGGAGAGGGACACAGCTGCCAATGGGGAGCAGCACAGCCGGCTGAGGCAGGAGAACCTGCAGCTGGTGCACAGGTGAGTCACACCCTTGGTGAGGGCCCTGCAGGCAGTCCCCGCCATGTGGGGGAGGCCCCTGGGGCCAAGGCTGCTCTCAGGGAACCCTGGCTTCCTCCCCAGTCGCCCTGCCACACAGACGTTGCCCCAGCAGTCCTGCAGGGGAGCACACAGACTGGCAGCCTTGCACGGAGGGAGGGGCGGAGCAGCCACCAGAACGGGGAGTGGGGCTGCCCGCCCGCAGCCCAGAGTGAGGGCACTGAGGACGCTTGGCCCCGAGTAGCTTCTCTCCCTGCCTCTGGCTTGCAGTCTGGTCGTGGAGGGTCCTGTGGGGTTTCTGGAGAGACCCAAGGGGCCTTATCAGCGTCTGAGTGTGGGTGCAGAGTCCGTGCTCCTTGCTGCGCCCTTCCTCTCGCTTCCTGTGGATTCCTGTGTTGTGCCTGTTGCTCGTGGCATTCTCCCAAACACGTGTGTGCATGGTTGTGTGTGCAGTGTGTATGTTCAGGTTTGTGGTCTGCATGTGCATGTGTGTATGTGTACATGCATATGTGGTACCAGGAGTCAAACCAAGGCCTCAGAAACTCTGGGAAGTACCTGCCCTGAGCCGTGTCCCCCAGGGCCCCCCAGCCTTCCTGGGTCCCTCGTTTCCTTTTGTCCCTGCTGCTTCCTGTCCAGATGACCTCCCTCGTCTAGGAAAGCGCACCAGGGCGCGTTCTCTGCAACTCTGGGTCTGGTGGGCTGGGCATGGTCCCCCACAGACCTACAGCTGTGCCTTTGGATCCACATGCCACATGGGCAGCCCAGGCCCCAGGGAACCGCCTTCTCCATAGTGTGACATGTTGGGGTTCCCCAGCGTGGCCTCCCTCCCCCAGTTCCTCCGTTTCCTTGTTGGTGGGGAGTCAGCCCTGAAGGTCTCCCCTCCTTTTCCACTCTCTGGTTTGGGGGTTTTCCTGTGTAAGAGTCTTCGCTTTTCTCCCTTTGCACTTCCATTGAGTCGTAAACTGGCTCAGTCTTACCTTTGGAGTGCATCTGGCAGCCCAGCCTGCCCTGACCTCTACTCTTGCCTGCTCTGCTGCCCCATGAGCCTGCTGGCCTCTGCAGATGCGAGCTCTTTCTGTCGGTTTGGTGCTGGCTTCGAGGCACACCTGAGAGTTCCCTGGGGCTGCTGTCTGGGTGCCGGGGACCGTCTGTTCCCAGGTTCGATCCCAGGGCTCCCTCATGCAGACCTTGTGCTTGAACCTTCCGTGGCACCTCCTTGATCATGGGATTCTTTGGAGATTTTGCGTTAGCCACTTTCCTCGGGGACCAGAGATAGCACAGGAGGGAAGGCATCTTATATGCGGCTGCAGCAGCTGCAGCCTGGCTGACTCTCTGGCACCACAAAGGGTTCTCTCTCTGAACACAGAGTCAGGAGTTGCCCCTGCGCCCGCTGCTATAGTCCAAACCCCAAATCAAACTGTTTCCCTGTGGTTTGGGGGGTCACTGGGCCCTTTCACACCTCAGTGTGAGGCGCCAGGCAGTTTGCAGACACCTCGGCGCGAGCCCTGGTCTGCATGGGTTCAACGTGATGCCATTATCTGGACGGGCAGTTCCTATGCCCTGAATGTTCCTTTGTTCCCATCTCTCGATGTCACCCGCCCTTATTGCAGCCGTGGAGTGACCTGGGTGGGGCTGCTCTGTCAGTTCAGGGTGCCCGGGGCGTTGCTGTCCACATCGCAGGGATCCCCACCCAGGAACCTGGGCCCCTGGCCTGCCGTCTGCCTCCAGTCCCGGGGAGCACGGTGTCAGGTTCCTGAACTCAGGACCATGGGCTCCTCTCTGCCCCACCCCCCTCAGAGCCAACGCGTTGGAGGAGCAGCTGAAGGAGCAGGAGCTTCGAGCCTGTGAGACAGTCCTGGAGGAGGCACGGCGGCAGCGCGAGCTGCTGAGCAGGATGGAGAGAGAGAAGAGCATCGAGCTGGAGAACCTGCAGGCCAGGTGGGGCTGGGGCTCACTGCAGCTGGGGTTTGTGGGGCAGACAGCAAGAGGCGCCTGCGGGAACCAGTCCAGCCACCTGGAGGGGACACTGCAGTGTGAGACCCCCAGTGATCACCTTAACGGCCCCTCTGAGGACAAGCAGACACCACGCTACAGCTCAGGCTTGGTGAGCCTGTGGCTGTGAGGCCAGTGACCTTCACGGTCACCACAGCAGCAGGGAAAGGGCCAGAGAGAGCACGGCGGGGTCTGAACCCTCGCTCTTTGGCCCCCAGGACCACCAGGGATGACCCAAAAAGTAAAAGTAGATACGTGGTGTGGGTAAGCATGGAGTGAGGTGTGCCTGGAGGTGGAGGCCCTGGGTGCAGGCCCGGCATCAGAAATATGGACAGGGGCCAGAGCGACAGCACAGCGGGGAGGGCATTTGCCTTGCATATGGCTGACCCAGGTTTGATCCCTGGCATCCCATATGGCCCCCAAGCACCACCAGGAGTAATTCCTCAGTGCAGAGCCAGGAGTAACCCCTGAGCATCACAAGGTGTAACCCAAAAAACCAGAAAAAAAGAAATATGAACAGATGACATCCTTCCCGGGGGACAGATCAGATGACGATTCAGACATCTTCGAGGAGACAGATGACGATGCAGGCATTCTTCCCAAGGGGAAGTGCGTCACGGTGTGGAAGTGGAGAGGCTCTAGGCCCTGGGGAAGGGAGCATAGCTGTACACCACCCCGGCAAAGGGACAGGGAGGACCGGGAGGGAAGGCAGAAGCACAGCAGTGCCCCAGGCCAGGGTGAGCTGGAAAACACCAGGAATGGAACAGAAGCCCAGAAATAAGAAGCCCAGACCATCATGGGGTTACACCTAGCCTCCCAGAGGGAGCCCAGGACAGCAGCACACGTGACAATACTCAGCATCCCAGGGGTCACTGACAGCCTCTTCCTGACACAAGGCCAGACTTGTCGCGGATGTACCAGCATCCAGCTCCCTCAAGGACACCCTGGTGTGTGAGGACCAGTGGTGCTCTTTTTCTTTGTTTGTGCCACACCCAGTGATGCTCGGGTTATTCCTGGCTCTGTACGCAGGAATTACTCCTGGCAGTGCTTGGGGAACCATATAGGATGCCAGGATTCGAATCCAGGTCCATCGTGTGCGAGGCAGTGCCCTGTCCACTAGACTGTCTCTCTAGCCCTCCGCCATGGTGTCCTTGTCTGAGAGTTAGTGTCTGCTCTGCCTCCGTAACCAGTTGTGGACTTTACCAAGAACCCTGAGTCACCCAGAGTCACTGTTCCCTTCCCCTTGGCTTTTGGCTGCTGGGTGTGCTGGGGTGGCAGCAGCTACCTGGAGCATTCCGCAGGGCTGTGTGCAGACACACAGTGGCAGAGCAGGGACCACGACACGTGAGGCAGGAAATAGCACCTCACTATGCAGGGGACCAGACACAGCACCCACGTGGCAGCAGGCAGCCCCACACAGCAGATGTGATGACTCCCTTCCTCCTGGTCCCCAGGGCTGTGCCCCTCCGTGGAGTGGCTGTGCACAGTGACCAGCATCAGGGACTGGTAGACGTGAGGAGGACCAAGACAGAGGAGGCACCTGGCAGACACCAGGGCCAGGTGACACTGTCCAGGGTGACCCTGAGGAGCCGTGAGGTGCAGGTTCCCCTGATCCAGTGATGAGAGGCCCCGTCGCTCTGGGAACCTTCCCCAGTCCCAGCTCGTGCCATCAGGAGAGACGCAGAGGGCTGAGCCTCACCAGACTATCTGGGCGGGGCTGGCACCACCTGAGGGGTGAGGGCCACGTTAATGGGAAAGTTGCACTGAGTTGGGTTTGGTGTCAGGGGCTGTGCTGAGCACCATGGAGGAGCTGAGCGCCAGGGTCTGCAGACTGACCGTGTCTGCAGCTGGACACTGCCTGGGTGGCGGGCATGCCGGTCCATGCCGGTGTGGGGTGCCCACTGGCCCAGCACTGGGGCAGGGCAGACGGGCTGGGGCGCTGTTTCCCAAGAAGGGACCCAGCTGTGCTCTGTGTCCCAGGCTGCAGCAGCTGGACGAGGAGAACAGCGAGCTAAGGTCCTGCACGCCCTGTCTGAAGGCCAGCATCCAGCGGCTGGGGGAGGTAGGCCGGGGGGGCGGGGGCAGGCTCCGGCCTCAGCACCAGCATGGGGGTGGGTCTGCGTGGGTGCTCCATGAGGGATGAATCAAGCCCTGCAGACCGGGCTGTGTGAAGGAGGGGGGGCAGTGTGGCCCCCTCTCCCCTCTGCTGGACAATACTGCCAACCAGGTCCCAGATTAAGTTGTAGTCCGAGTCCAAGGAGAGTGTCCTGTAGGGTCACCTTTATTCCTCGTCCTCCATGTGTGGCCAGGCCGCGGGCTCCTGTATACCAGCCCCCGTCCTCCCTCCCACCACCTGTGGCCCAGAACTCTGACACCTGCGGGTCTCTACGGCCTTGGGATCCGCCCTGCCCCTATCAGAACGTCCCTCTGGCCCACGAAATGCTGTGCCCCGAGTGCTGCCCGGGGTTGTACTCAGCAGCCCCAACCCAAGGCCACGGTGCAGCTCCCCCAGGGCAGTGGGGACGGGAATGGGTGTGAGAGGGGTGGGGGCAGCAGCAGGCAGCTGCCAGCAGTGTGCTGGTCTCTCCACAGGAGAAGCAGAAGCTGCTGGATGAGATTGAGGAGCTGTCCCTGCGGCTCAGTGAAGAGCAGGAGAACAAGAGGAGACTGGGGGACCGGCTGAGCCAGGAGAGGCACCAGTTCCAGAGGGACAAGGAGGCCACCCAGGAGGTGAGCGTGCCCGCTACCGCGGCCCCTCAGTGCCCTCGTGTCTGTGCTGTGCCAGCCAGGGGCACCCTCACCTCCCACAGGCCCTCCGGGGAGGGCCCTGCACGTGTGCCCTGGCCCGGGTCTCACGCTCACCCTGCGCTGCCCGCAGCTGATCGAGGACCTGCGCAAGCAGCTAGAGCACCTGCAGCTGTTCAAACTGGAGGCAGAGCAGCGCCGCGGCCGCAGTAGCAGCTCGGGGCTGCAGCACTACAACAGCCGCACCCGGGAGAGTGAGCTGGAGCAGGAGGTCCGCCGGCTCAAGCAGGTGTGCCCAGCGGCCCGTGGGGTGGGCCCTGGGGCCCCTCTTCCCACAGGGCACCCCCAGCACTGACTGTTGCGTCCCCAGGACAACCGGAGCCTGAAGGAGCAGAACGATGAGCTGAACGGGCAGATCATCACCTTGAGCATCCAGGGAGCGAAGAATCTCTTCAGTACATCCTTCTCCGAGTCCCTGGCGGCAGAGATCAGCTCTGTGTCCCGAGATGAGGTGAGCACCTCTCCCCTGCCTCGCCCACTGCTGCCTCCCCCCACTCTAACCCCTGCCCCTCCACAGCTCATGGAAGCGATTCAGAAGCAGGAGGAGATCAACCTGCGTCTGCAGGACTACATCGACAGGATCATTGTGGCCATCATGGAGACCAACCCCTCCATCCTGGAGGTCAAGTAGAGGCCGGAGCCCGCCGGCCGCCCCTCACCTGTGCAGATTGGGCTTTGGGCTCAGTTGGGCTCCTTGGCTTTCAGGCTGGATGAACCCCTGGCGAGCTTCTGCCTGCTTCCTGCTGGGGCTGCTGCTCACACCCAGCCTCACCTACTCCCGAAGGGCCACAGGGGATGGGCAGGTGAGGCCCGGAGCACCGGACTGACTGGGCGCCCCACACTGCTCTGTCTCCCATGCTGCTCTTGCCGCCACCCCACGAGGCCTGGGATGCCAGGCATGCTCCGGGCACTTCCCCCATGGACCTGTGCTGCAGTGACCCTCGGCACTCAGGACCCAGCGTTGCAGGTCCTGGCGTGGGCAGCCCCGTGTCAGGTGTGACTTCCAGTCCTGTGTGTTCTCAGCTGCCCTCTCAAGCAGGGTCCAGAACTGGAATCACAGGTTTCTGGGATGACTCACGGGTGCTGTCCCCCGAAGAACTCGGTCTGGGCAACTTCTGCTCAGGAACCGTGGCCTCACCTGCCCCAGGAGCGGCAGACCGCCCCTCCCCCATGGACCACTGAGCCTACCTTGGGCTGAGTGCCCACAGTGTGTGTGAGGGTGTGTGTGTGTGTATGTGTGTGTGTACGTGTGCACGCCTGCCTCCCTCAGCCTCCCCAACCCGCCCACCCACAGAGATATGACATGGCCTCATAATTGTACATTTTGGGGAAAGCCTTGGGTGTAAATCAGTGTAAACTTGGAGGAGAGATTTTTTATCATGTAGAGTAGGTATTTTTTATAGATTGAAGGTTGATCAATTTTTTAATACTTCTGAGAGAAAATTGTGTATACACATGAAATATATATATATATATGTATGTACGTACCCTCTGTGAACACTCCAGTCTGCTTTCTGGGCACAGTTGCTTTGCCACACCAGCTCTGCTGTGTCCTGTCGAGGCTGTGACTCGCCAGAATGTTCCAGGCACGCATATTCGTGATAGGCTGGGATCCCCCGAGAAAGGCCATGGTCAGTGGGGGGCCAGAGAGGTCATGGCACTCCTCGTGGAGGTCCATCTGGTCTCGCCCGTAGCATTTGGGGTTTGGGGTAGACGTCTTCGCTGCCCACTCCTGGGGTGCTGCCTATCTAGTGGGACAAGTCAGGAGTGAAAGAGGTCCTGTATTGGGGGCCACCCCAGACGCTGCAGGCTGAGGGAGTAGGGGTCTCCTGGGTCCAGGGCCCTGTTCCCCAACCGCCCTGCAGAAGGGCCTGAGCACAGACCACTGCCCATGGAGCACAGGTGCTTCTCGGGCTGAGGGGGAAACCAGGAAATGTCCAAGGCCTAGTTCATGCCCAGACCCCCCCGCGCCCCAGGAATAGCCCAGCACCACGTTTTGTCAAGTTCACAAGATTACACGGACCACCTGTGGCGCCAAATCCTTGTGGGGCATACCCAAGGGCGAGGGCCTCAAACCATGGCTACTACTGGAGCACCCAAAGGGGGTCCCTGGAGGTCCTGCAGGACCACTGCTCCCGGCCACCAGCCTAGGCAGTGGCCAGTGCCACAGCCTCCACTGATAGCCCAGGCTGCCCAGCCATGCGCACAGGGCCCCTGACTCAGGGGAGGAGCCGGAAGTGGAGGGGGCCTCATCCTCACCTCAGCAAGGTGAGCTGGTTTCTTTCTGGGATCCACAGGCCCTCCTGTCCCACCAGATAAGTGGGGTGGAAAACACCCCAAGAAACCTGGACTCACCCAGGCAGTGGCTGAGGGCTGGGGAGGGCAGCCGAGGCTCCACGCCACAGGGGGCCTGGTGTCACGGCCCTGGCCATCCTCCCAGGGAACATCCAGCTATGGCTCTGGCAGCCGACTAAGGACCCAAGCTCTGGACGCCTCTGTGGGCACAGCTGAAGGATGGAGCCCTGCAGTAGAGGGCACTGCTGCCCACGCTGCTCACTGCTGGGTCAGCAGCCAGGGGTGCCCAGTGGTGCTTTGCTGGCAGACGGAGGCTGTGGCCAAGGCCCTGAACCACTTTACAGTTTCTGGACCCCACCTGGCAGTGCTCAGGGACCATGGGATGTTGTGGCTCCAGCCCAGGCCTCTGGCCCCCAAGCCTGCTCTTAGTCCCCTCACCGGCTTACTTCTTTATCTGGGTTAACAGTTACACCCCCTGAACCAGGACATCGCCCCCACAAAGCCCCTGCCCCAGCTGCCTGCCAGTCCCAGGGCCCCACCAGAGTGCCTTAGCCCTCCTCAGTCAGGCAACGGCGCTGTTGACGGCGGTGACCAAGGCCTAGGGCAGCGGTCTGCTGTGATCTGCAGCCAAGGTCACTCATCTGGGAGAGCTCAGAGTCGGCATGGGGCTGTACACTGCAGGCCCCAGCACCGCGTGATCCACTGACACAGAGCAGGTTCGCAGCCCAGAGAAAACAAGCAAAGACCCACTCATCTACTCCACAGTGGCTTCCAGTTCCACGTGCGCGCCTCAGGACCAGGGCTCCAGGACAGCTGCCGGGTGCGGCTCTCAGGGCGCGGGCTCGGTCCTCTCCTCCGACAAAGGTCCCTCTAGGGGCCAGCTTTTCCGCTCTCTGGCGGGCAGCTCGTTTATCCAGCTCTGCAGGGGCAGCTGGGCTTCCTGCCTCGGTCGGCGGTTCTGGCAGGGGTACACGCGGCAGACGCGGCCCCGGGAGCGGGCACCCGGCCTGCAGGCCTGTCCTCAGTGCGTGAGCACCAGCTCCCTGCCCGCGCGAGGTGCGGCTGCGTCCACCGCCGCCCCCTTGGCTGCAAGCCGGGACTTCCGGGGGCCCGAGTGTCCTGCCGGGAGCTGTCCCCGCCCGCGGGCCTGCACCGCGGCTTTCTTGCCCTCCAATCTGAAAACAGCTCCCCGACCCCGGGGCCCCAGTCCAGGGGCCTTGCTTGCCACCGGGACCCGCCCACCGGAGGCGATGGGACCGCGGGGGCTGGAGGCCGAGCTGGCCATCCTCGGGCTCGGTCACCTGGCTGGTGACCCGTGGTGTCGGAGCACAACGCCGGACACTCTAGACCACGAGGCTATGGAGCAGGCGCACAGCGGGGGCAGCACAAGACGACCACCCCTAAGCCCCGAGCCACAGGCGCCTGAAGCTCGCGCACACGGAGCTGGGCGCGAGGCCCCGCCCCTTCCCCCGCACAGGGTGTCCTGGGAGTTGTAGTCTGGGGCTGCCGGGGTCGGCCGCGAGTGGGCGGGACGCGCCGCGGAGGGGCGGGGCGCAGGTGCGGGGCGCGCCAGGACTACGATTCCCGTCCTGCATCGCGCGCGGCACCACCCCGTTTCCGCCCGGGCGCGCGGGCCTGTGGGAGCCGTAGTCCGGGCGCGATTCACAGCGCCGCGTGCGCCCCGGGCGCGCCGTAGCCGCGGGCCCCGGCCGGGCGCTACGCTACGGAGGCGGCGTAGGCGGGCCGGCCGGGCGGGCGGCGCTCGGCGGCTCCGGACGCAGCGCGGGAGCCGGCCGGGCCGCGCCGCCCTCCGCGGCAGAAGTTGTGGACCGGCCGGCGGCGGCGAGCGGGCCCGGGGCTAGTGGTGAGTCCCGCGGCCGGGCCCCCCGGGAGGGGCCTGCGGGGGCACTGCGGGCCGACGCCGACGCCGGCGCGGGGCCGCAGGGACTGAGGGGCCGCGGCCGGGACGCGGGGTCGCGGCGCGCCGGGGCGGCCTGTCCTTGGGGCCCACCGCGCCGGGCTGTGCGTGGTCCGGAGCCGCGTCCCGCAGCCCGCGGGGCCGGTCCTGTGCTCGGCCCATCCGCGAGCCCGCCGGGGCCGGCGCTGCCCGGGCCGGGACAAGGTCGGCGGGCCGGCCAGACTCCCGGGGCCCGACCGCCCCGCGCCGCCGCGGGGTCCCGGGCCGCGCCCCGCAGGCCCCCCGCGCCCGGAGTCGGCGCGGCCCTGGGGCGCGCGTAGTGGCTGGGGGCCGGCACTGCGGGCCCACCCGAGGGCCGCTAGGCTTAAGGACGGGGTAGCTCTAGCGAGGCGCCCACCGGCAGCCCCCTGCTCATGGCACCGCCCCCTCTTGAGGGTGGGGTGTGCAGGGGAAGGGCTCAGGCCCCCGGGCCCAGCGCTCAGAAGTGACCCAGGGAGGGGGCACGGGAGCTCGCCGTGGACGTGCCGGGTTGTGGAAGGTGGGGTCCTGCGGAAAAGCCTGTGGGACTTTGCAGCTGCTTCCTCTTGTGCCGGCTGGACAGAGCTTCAGGCCCGGAGGGACAGACCTGCTGGACAGAGCTTCAGGCCCGGAGGGAGCAGTGGGGACCGTAGAGCCAGTCGCCCGCAGCACCCACTGAGGGCTCGAGGGCGCTGGACTTGCATTCCTGGGTCTGGAGAGGCCACGTGTCCCAGACTTTCAGGAGCTGGAGGCTCGGTGCCTGCTCTAGGTGGGGGCGGCAAAGAGGTCGTGGGCAGCACAGAGCTCTGGGAGGGCAGCGGAGCCCCGGGGCGCTGACCCCATCCATGGGCTGAGTTCTGGGGGCACATCTCAGGTGCCACTGATGTTGACCCTGGCTGTGGGCAGAGCTCTGGGTGCTACATCTGCTGCCCCTTGGCAACTGGTCACAGGCAAGCACCTGTCTCCTGCTCATCCTGATGGTTTGCGTGTCTCCTGGGAACTGAAGGCGAGCCCAGTGTCCCTGAGTCCCCAATGCTGCTGTGTTATCACGCCATCCCCATGATTCCTTGCCCCAGGGTGTCGTGAAGATCCCAGACTGGGGGCCTTGTGAGCATGTGGGGATGTCACGTCCCCCATGGGCACGGGGAGAATGGGCTTCTTGGCCCTCAGGTACCCTCCTGCCTCCTGGCCCATGTCGTGGCCTGTGTGCCAGCCCGTGTGCCCCCTCCTCCCTCTGCTTCGCCACCTGCTCCCCTGGCTTGCACGGGGCTCACTCCCAGTGCTCCTGCCCCCTGTGAACTCCGTTCCTGCAGACAGGGTGCTGGAGTGGGGTCACACGGCACGGCGTCCCCTCTGCTGTCAGAAGCTGAGGCTGACCCTGCTGTTCTTCCTGCAAGCTGCATCTAGGCCATGCCTAGCCTGTGGCACCTCGGGCAGTGCAGTGGGGCCAGAGCATGTGCACCCCAGGAGACCCTCCCCCTGGGGGGGCAGGGGGTACCCTGCTCAAGCCACATTTGACCCCAGATACAACAGCCAGAGTGGAGCCCCAGAGCTGCCCCGCACAAGAGATGGAGGTGGGTGGTGGGGTCTGTGGGCTGTGTTCCCCCCACGCCTGGTGTAAGGTGCTGGCCATCATTTGCTTTGGCTCCAGGTGGGATGTGTCTGCATCTCCAGTGTGGCCTTCTCCTGTGTCCCGGGGCACTGGGGCCCCTGTGGACAGGTGCTGTGTCCACCTGTTTGTCTTGTTTCCTGATATGACTCACTTGCTCAAACCTTTCCTGCAGCAGGGAGGTGCCCTTTGTCCCTGCCTTCCGTCCCCACCTGCCCACACCTTTTCTGCAGGAGGGGAGGCACCCCCTGTTCCTCTCTTCCCGTGCCATCCTGCGAAGGCTGGTTTTTAGATTTAGGGTCTGCACTGCTGTGTGGCAGGGTAGGGGGACCCCAGGTCGGCCTCTGGACACAGGCGCTGCTGTAGGGCTGAGCTGGCTGGCTGCAGGGCTCGAGGGGAGGCTCAGACCCATGACCATACTCCGGGCTGGACTGTGACCGGGACCTCCTGCTGATGCCTGGCCGTCCTCGTCCCCGGAACATGGCTGCCACTCACATGGCCCGGGCCCCTGGTATGGGTGGGTGCAGATGGGCTTCCAGGAGTGGACGAGGACGCTGGCTGGCCCGCGCCCCAGCGCCTGCAGGGACCCGTGAATCATGCGTTTCTTCTCTCTCTGTTCGTGTCCCCTGTCGTCATCGTCATTGTCC